TACACTTCCAATTATAAGTCATATTATTTAGGAATAATGAACTAATAGCTACTCATTTAAATTTCCAAGATTATACCTCTAACTAATACATCAAATTTTTATTTATCATTTTATAATTAATATATATATATATATATCTATATATATTTACAACAATTACTAAATATTAAACCCAAACAATATAGATGAACAACTAAAACCATCATATAGTTGAAGGTATTAAAAGAATCAGGTGAGGGTTACCTCAATCAAATCAAAATAATAATTAAAATGAGATTATGAACCTCTAACGTAAATAAATTAAGTAAATAAATTAAATAAATCAAAATAATAAATCAAAATAATATTGATCATCTCATTAAATAAATAGAATAATAAATACAAATAAAAATAAGGTTACGAATATCTCATTAAATAAATTAAATAAATAAAGATATCGACAGAAATACTACAATCTAGCATATTAATAAAGTCACGTAAAGATTCGCTACAAAGATTATAATCTTTATAAGAATAAAAGTTTTAATCAAAGAAGCAAGAAAATCTTTTCTTAAAGAATCAAAATGCATATAATATGACTCAAAAGTGTATATATTAGCCTTTGGTACCTCTATATATATGTAGATAAGTTTAAGAAAACTTATAAACCCTAACATAAAGCCCAAAGATAAAAGTTATTTGCACTGATTCCAACTGTGCAATAATTGTATTAAATTCATTAATATGACGAATAACTTTGTTACCTTCACCCATTTTCAAGTTGACAAATTTGTGAATCAAATACACTTTATTTGTTGTGGATGGTTTCTCATACATATTTGATAACGTCTACATCAAATCAGCCCCAAGTGTCTGTTGGTAGTCCTCTATTTGGATCTTCCAGAACCCGAAGTCATTGTGATAAGAACCAACTATTTTTTGATATGGAAGATTAGACAATGTTACAATCGCAAAGCATAGCTCTTGATACCAATTATTAGAAACAAGACAATAAAAGAATGGAAGAGAAAAATAAACAGCTCTACAATTTAACGTGATTGGGTTATAATGTGTATGTTTACGTCTAGGAAATATATTTATTTGGTGCATTTGTAAATCTTACTTAATATTGCTTATATAGCAAAATGGAAAGTAAGGTGGGACTAAATCAAGCTACAAAATACTAACACAAGAGGCCATTGCTGCAGAAGCTTTGGATATTTATATTTAACGAGTTGAAAAGAAAATCTAGGGATGCAGAAGATGTTCAAAGTATTCAAATAATATGTTCCTCTAGAGGTGAGTGGGTTATCCAGGAGGATGATCTATCAAGAGAGGATCTGAACAAGTTCATGCGTTATTTGGAACGCAATGAATTCACCTTTTACAAGGGCCTAATTCTGTGGCATATTGCCACTAATCTCTTGTTCTATGAAGAGGAAGAGAAAGATGAGAAGCGAAAAAAGAAAGAGGATAAAAACGAATAGAAGGTCAGCCAAACGAAACGGATGGAGCAGATAAAGAAAAAATTGATGCTCCTGATCTGGAGAAAGGAAACCATGATGATGGTGAAGATGGTGATAAAGAGGGCAAACAAACGGATGAGAAGAAAAAGAAAGAAATAATGCTCATGATCTCAAGCAAGAAAATCATGGTGATTGTGAATATGGTGATATTGAACTGCGGCATTTTAGTAAGCAAGTTTGATGTGATTTTCATTGTTATATGTGTTTATTATAATATTATATGCAATGTTTGCATTATGATATTGGTGTCTTAGTTTTAGTTGTCTGATGTTTTACTGGAATCCAACCTTTTCTATCAGGATAACCATTTAAAAATGTTGGGAGGATATCTTGAGTTTTTTATGGATCCGAGTGTTGTTGAAATGTCCAGAGTATAAGGAGAGAACTTGATGCCTTCATTCAGAGCAAAGTAGGTGCAAATTAATATCATTCTCCTACCTTCTCGATGCAAACAGAACTACCATTCTATTTGTTTTTTTAAACTTTGTATTTGGCAGCTACTTTTTCCAAGAATGGGCATACAGTGGTATCATGATCTCCTATCTACAGTACGGCTGCTGATTTCCAATGACCAATGTGAAGGTAGATTTGTATTTGGTCGCCAGGTCCATAAACCATCTAAAAAATCTATTATGTTGGCCTCACACCCAACCTTGGTTTCAAGGACTGAGAGTGGACCTGGGGGAGATAATTCTAAAAGTCAGCTCCAAACATTGCTTACGAGAGCAGGATGTGCAGCGCCCGTCTACAAGACTAAACAATTGAAGAACAATCAGTTTCAGGCTGCAGTTGAATTCAATGGAATGCAGATAATGGGTCAACCTTGTAACAATAAAAAGAGTGCAGAAAAAGATGCTGCAGCTGAGGCATTGCAGTGGCTGATGGGTGGAAAGCAAGCAGGCAGGGAGTATATCAATCACTTGTCAATGTTGCTTAAGAAAAGTAAGAAGGATCACAATTAAGCGGTCAAAGTAATATGTTCAATGCAAAGGTAAAATGGAGCTGGAGGCAAAGGATGTATGCGGTTTCATGGGGCATTGTTACTATAAAGTCCTGGATCATTGGGTCAACCTGTTCATGAAAGCAGCCAACCCCATATCACCATCAACCAGATTGAATTTGAAGTTGAAAGATACTCATTCTTTGATCGAAGCAAGATAAAAGATCATCCGCGAGCATGAAGCAAATAACTGTCACTTTTCCAGTTTTGTGCTTTTACATCAGTGAGAAAATTGACGGTTAGTGGCAGGGTCATACGCGACAGGAGGGATTAGTACATAGCATTCATTAAATGGGTTGGGTTGGCGGTGCGGGCGGTTGTGCACATATTCAGCAGGAAATGATGCCACACTCGAATCCCAGTTATTCACCCATTGATTTTGTACAGTGATTATCATTTTTGACGGTATTGAAATCTTGAATATATGTCGAACCACATTCCATCCCAATATAATTCTATTCCAATGGTGAGACCAAATAAACCTTTTTCTGGCCTTTTGTTCTTGGTCCGATTAAAACCAAGTGAAAAATTAAAGTAACCGGTTTTGGACAGATTGTAGGTCAAATAAATGGGAAACTGAAACGATTGTTCAACATCAATAAATTTTGGTTGGTGACATATAAGTTGAAATTGATCATATTCTAAGTTGTTTTGAGAGGACAAGCCCCGAAAAGAATGTACCTAACGCGGTCGTGTTGCCAGCTCAACATTTGTTTGGATTTCCATTTCCATAGCATGAATGGACTATCAATGTAAAGACAACACACTCGTGGATTCATTTGAATGTTCATTGGAATGTGTATTGGCGGTAAACCAAACAACCAAGTGTTGTGTTTGATCCGATCAAAATACATGCAAGGGAATTACAAAGATTATTTCATCCTATATCAAATTATATGTTTTCATTTATCTAATTTATTCCTAAATCTTAAGTGATGCTCTTATTTAATACATTAACTTTTTTTTCTAATTTGTTCTCAAGTAAATTAAAATGTTAATTCTTCAACAACCCCATTTACCTCTCTATTTAATGTATTTAATGAGATTATTTTAGTAAAATTGTATAAAGAGTTTTTATTTTTTTAGTACTTCAACAAAAAAAGTCTCAGGCTGCAGATAAAATGAGATTGAGGTACAAAATTGTTTATCATTTAGTGCAGAAATTTAAAAGTAAAGAGAACAAAAACAAGAACCAAAAATTCCTTTCGTTTTATTTATTTTCTATTGATTGGATTTGAATGAGAATTTCTTTGTAACATTTAGAATGTTCGCACTAAGTTTTGTTGAAATTTTATTTTCCTTTTCTTTTATTAGCATCCGTGAGAATGTGCTAGTCATTGCTTTTCCTCCCATCCTATTACGCATACTTTTTTCTTTCCTTTTATTAAAATTTTCTCCTGTAAAATGAAAAGAAAACGTGTTTTTCTTATTTCCTTTCATTAATTCCTCTGTTTGTTAGTAATTATAAGTTTCGGCTTTTTGTTATATTTCTTGATAGTTTTGTTTACCGAGAAAAAAAAGGGAAAAAAGCTTGCTTCAATAAACTTCCCCAGAATCAGGTCTAGATAAAAAAAAAGCAAATATATAAAAAAATTAAAATATTAACGTATTAATAATAAAATTAAAACACATTCATTTATAAACTTTAAAAATTAAAATATATTTGAACTACAATAATTCAAATTTAATGATAAAATTTAAAAACTAAAAAAATAGTTAATCCTAAAAAATATAAACTTCCACCAAATTTTTTTAGGTACTTTATCATTAACTACGACCAACTTACAATTAAATTTTATTTGGACCAAAAATGCAGTTTTCCTACTAAAATTCAATCAAAAGTATATATTGGCAACGTATACCCAGCCAATGATTATGGTTGAAACTTAAACACTAGACACAGGACAAAAACTAGTCAAAAGAAAAAAAAAAAAAACCATGGGCAAATGCAGAATATCAACATCATATCGCTCATCAGGAAAGACTTACTATAAAAGGCTTATTCTGATTATATCATTTTTTCAATACTTCATAAATATGGCACACACAAATGCGGATTAAATATGCGAATGATATTCCCAATCACATACTGCACACTACCAGAACAAAATCTGTGAACAGCCAAATAAACAATAACCAAGTAATAAACTGTTCTTTTTCCCTCGTCTGGGTTTTTTAGGTTTTTTACTAATACCCATTCATTTTACCAAGAAAACCTTTTTTCTAGCTTCAATTTATTCAGACTCATGCTAGACGTAGAAAAAAAAACTAAACACATCTAAGTCCCTTCACGATCACTGCAAAGAAGGAATGATAAAAAGCTAAAGAAATTAGTAGACATAGCCCTTGACAAACATTCCCTTCTTTGCCTCTTCACTCTCACCCTCCGCAGAATATCTTCCAAGTTGAGCCAAGGAGTTTGCTTTTGCGCGCACCAAAAGAGACTTTTGAGCAGCTTCCACATTCTCAGGGTGTCCTTTCCACGTCTTTAGCACGGTGTTCTGAAGAGCTCGAGCATACGAGAAAGAAACATGCCATGGGTTGGGGCTTTGGTTCATTGCATTTAGATTAAGTGTCGCTTCCACTTCAGATTGTCCACCCGACAAAAACTGACAAAATAAACATTTTCACTCTTTAATTTACTAGTTTTATATTAAGTGCAATAATAAGTAAAATCAGCATGCCAATTATCTGAATAGAGAATACAAAAGACCTGTTACTTTACCATGATTCCGGGTACTGCTGGAGGAACTCTTCTTCTAAGCAAGGGTTAGAGTATATTTGGCAACGGTTTCCGGAGAAGCCTTTTCCTTATGTCCAGCCCCAGGTGTAACCATGCTAGGTTTGAGAAAATTCCCTCAAACATGACATTGTTTTCAGCCAAGTAGAAGAAGACTTCAGACCAGACTTTCTCGGCAACTTCCAACGTCCTTCATTGATGGTCTCGTCCAAAGAATTTCAGGCTCCACAATTGGCCAAGGCCATTGTTCCTGAATGAAGACGAGTAAGCAGGGGATTAGTGCACTGTAAAAGAAAAACCTTTCTTGAGATAAATCTACAACAACATCAAGTAACAAAGTTCAAAGAATGAAAAACAATTACAGGTTCTCATTCATTCAAATTTGCCATAAAATATATGTTCCTTTGTCATAGACCAACTAAACCCACAACCCAAGTTCCACTCCCTTCAAACTGAAAGAACCACTATCTCAACTGGGTCCAGTGATCGTACCAAAGGATAATACAAATAGATGTGTGTTACTCTAATAATTCGGGTAATTTCAGCAAACAAAGATTTATGGGAGCAAGAATACCTGAGAGATAGCGGCATAACGTGCAAGTCCCCATGCTGCTTCCTTAACAGCTAATGCAGAAGGACCACATGGAATGCTAACAACTGTCCTCCTGTGGATCAAAACAATTTTAAAGTCGCTCTCAATGCATCTAATTAAGACGAACATTTCACAAAGAAACAATGACTTACCACTTGGCAAATCGAGCACCTTGCTTGTAGTATTCAGCAGACCTAGAAGCCAATCCATCCAACCCTTGGCACCATGATTCATTGTTTGAACCCGGCAGGGGGACCAGACCCTAAAATAGGAAACTATAAATGTAACACCAAGCCAACTTCTAAATCTAATCAGTAACACATGACACCATTGACAAACTCAAATAACAAACCTTATCAACTTTGATGCCAGGAACAATGTTCTGATCACGAAGGCAATCCACAAATTTCTTTCCATCAGTGGTTGACTGGTAAAGGGTTTCTTCAAAAAGAATGGCACCAGAAATATACTCTCCAAGGCCAGGTGTGGTAAGCAGAAGTTGCCTGTAAGCCTGGCGATTCACCTCAGTATTGTCTAAACCAATGGATGCTAAACGCTTCCCGCATGTTGCATTTGATTCATCAATTGCAAGAATCCCACGCCCAGGAGTTGCAATAGATTTCTATACAACCAACAAACAAGAAAGCCAGTCTCATCGTTACTGAAGGGTTAAGATCCAAAGTGATAGAGTGATAAAACGTATCTAAAAGACAATCCAAATCAACATAGAAAAACAGCATCCTGAAAATCTTCCAAGAAGTAAAAAAATACTAAAAAACCAAATCCAAGGAGAGATTTCATTACAGAGTAAGTTATGAATCAAATTAATGTAAATCAACAAACACGACCAAAGATGGAAAATATACATGCATAAAGAGTGTACCAAAAAACAACAAAGTTAAAATCTTTAGAGCAGAAAAACATTAGAAATCAAAAGAATTGATAAAGTGCAAGAAAGAAGAAGATAATAACCGCGATTTGAAGAATGTGCTTGAAGAATATGCGGCAAAGTCAATAAATCATAAATAGACGGTATTCCATTTTAAAAGATCTTACCATTTAGATTGGTTCGCTTAATGTTAGATAGGGTATTGCTAATTTTTTATTTATTTCTTATATTGTCAGATACATTTCCAAAAGCCAGAAGGTACATTTCTTCAAAACTGATATATGCAATTTTGAATCAAAATTGTCTGAAGATTAACCCTTTAAAACTTTTAGAACATTTAAATTGAATCGAATTAATATAAATCTACAAACAAAAACGACCAAAGACGGAAAATACGCATGCACAAAGGGTGTACCGAAAAACAGCAAAGTTAAAACCTTCAGAACAGAAAAACTTTGGAAATCAAAAGAATTGATAAAGGGCAAGAAAGAAGAAGATATCATAAAGTATTGGTACTAACAGCAGTTTGGACGAGTTCGTGTTGGTAAGAAGAGGCGCGGATCGGGAGAGAGACCCGGCGAGGAGAAGATCCCCGGCGTGGAGAAAAGGTGCTGTGGGCGATCCACTGTGAAGACAAAGTATTGAGCTTTGCAGAAGCCATAGCCATGGAAGTTAAGAGTGAAAAAATGGATTGTTGCAAAGTCCAGTGAAGATTGTGCTGTGATGTGATCTGAAGGTTTTATAGGGAAAGAGAAAACCGTGAAAAAGAAATGAAGTGTTTGGTTTGATTCGGTTTGGTTTTCTTGGTCACTCCGCGGTAGGTGATGTGAGACACTTCTCAAGCGGCAATATCAACAACCCACTTTTTTAATTTCTTTTTCGATTTATATTTTTCAAACACAAAAGTCCTTTTCCATGCTTTGTTTGAATATCAAAATATTTTATTTAATTATGGAAGCATGTATTAAAACTATTTTTATTGATTCATATGCGGAAAACATTTATTATATTTAAAATTTATTTAATTTTAAAAAATTTAATTTTTTTAAAACAAATTAAATAAAAAACAGTTAAATTTAAGAAAACTGTTATTTGAAAGGAAAATTTAGAAAGAAAGAAAAACGCAAAATTAAAGGATAAAATTAAAAAAAAAGTAGATACAAAAAGAAAAATCCTCTGTTTATACAATTGTATACGTATTTTAATTTATAAAGATAAAGATATCGCCTTTTGAAAGAAATTTAAAAAAAAATATTATAAATATTGAATATTATAGCACATGCATATTTTTAATTTATGAAGATAAAGATGTTGGAATTAAAACAGATAAAGATTGAAATAGTTTAATAGATGCATAATTTAATATATAAGGATAAAGATTATGGAATTAAAAGAGATAAAAAAATATTAAGATTGAAATATTATATAATAGATACATATTTTCAATTCATGAAAATAAATGTATTTAGATTAAAATATTAAATAATTATTATNCAAACACAAAAGTCCTTTTCCATGCTTTGTTTGAATATCAAAATATTTTATTTAATTATGGAAGCATGTATTAAAACTATTTTTATTGATTCATATGCGGAAAACATTTATTATATTTAAAATTTATTTAATTTTAAAAAATTTAATTTTTTTAAAACAAATTAAATAAAAAAAACAGTTAAATTTAAGAAAACTGTTATTTGAAAGGAAAATTTAGAAAGAAAGAAAAACGCAAAATTAAAGGATAAAATTAAAAAAAAAGTAGATACAAAAAGAAAAATCCTCTGTTTATACAATTGTATACGTATTTTAATTTATAAAGATAAAGATATCGCCTTTTGAAAGAAATTTAAAAAAAAAATATTATAAATATTGAATATTATAGCACATGCATATTTTTAATTTATGAAGATAAAGATGTTGGAATTAAAACAGATAAAGATTGAAATAGTTTAATAGATGCATAATTTAATATATAAGGATAAAGATTATGGAATTAAAAGAGATAAAAAATATTAAGATTGAAATATTATATAATAGATACATATTTTCAATTCATGAAAATAAATGTATTTAGATTAAAATATTAAATAATTATTATATTTTAAATTAAATTAAATAATTATTAAATTTTAAATTAAAAAACAAAGTTTTATTTAAAATTCGTTAACATATATTAACAAATTTCGAAATTTAATAATTTTTTTTTATCAAATTTCAAAATTTAATTTAATAATTTTTTATCAAATTTTAAAATTTGATGAAAATTTAGTTAGATTTCGAATTCTAATTCAGATTGAGTCAAATTTTGAAATCTAATAAAAACTCAATCAGATTTTGAAATTTGTTGGATATTTTCCTAGGAAGCATAACAGGTATTTTAAGGAAAATTAAAGATATAAACTGCAAACGTCATACGTTTTATAATTATAAAAAATCATACCTAAGATCCAATTTATATAACATTTATTTAAAGGTATATATTTTTACCATTTTTTAAGTGCAATCGAACTCCCAACTTTCAAATTTACTGTATGAATCTTCTTAAAGCTGGTCAAGCTAATGTAGGTTTAGAAATAACTTATTTCTTAAAATTAATTACTTATTATTTTATTTAAACAGAATTAGCACTTGTTTTTAGATGTAGATTAAACTAAATTCGTGAAAAAGTTGTTTGAAAATTGATAAAATTATCCTTTATGAAGAGTACCGTAAAAATAGATTAATCAACAATCCAATCAAAATATTAAATCAACGAATTAATAATAATACTAATAAGCTAACATTACACATAGACACACACAGACCCACACACACACAGACACACATGCTCAATTTTAATTGATTGTTGTATATAGGAAATTTTGATTGATGTTAAAACTTAGGTATATAGAGAATTTTGATTGATGTTGGAACGAGTTTTAATTGATTGTTGTACATATAGTGAATTTTAATCACGGTTCAGAAAATGACAATTAAGAACCCTAATTTCCTAATTATAATAAGGAGGAAATTCCAATTCTTAATTATAATGAAATAAAAACCTAAATTCTTAATTTATGTCTCATTACCATTAGAGAGGAATCATAACCCTAATTTGCTTAATTAAATGTCAATCTTAAATCTTAAATTTTACTGATATGCCTTCTTAAAATGTTCTCTACTCCAAAAAAAATTAGAAAGAAAAAGGAAACATAACTATCCTTTAATAAATCTCTTTTTATTTTATTTTACTTTTAATTAAATTCTATTATACGGTAACATCCTACACAGTGCTTCCCTAAACATCTAAACCTATATTCTAAACTTTTATTTTTCATTTTATTTAATTTCAATTGCAAGCCTTTACTTCCTATACCCCTATTTTTAATATTTGCACCCCAATTACAGAAATGGAAAGGACATTCTTGACCTTAAAAAAATATAAATAAAATCAAACAAAGGTTTCACATAAACCTTTCTTTAGGATTTGAACTCAAAGTAATTCAATAATAAACAATCATCTCTACCAACAAACTAACACATAACATTAAAAATATAACACATAACAAATTTAAAATCATACAATAACATGTGTACACTTATATCAACAAAATATATAAATAACATAGAATTTTATGTTTTACTGACTTGCACACCAACTTAGATACACTTATGAACTCAAGTAGATTTTAATTAAACATACTCAAATCTTATTTATAAATTCTATATTTTTCTCGGATCTTACAAAATATATATATATATATATATATATATATATATATATAATATTATTCATACAAATAAAGAAAGTATAAAAAACATAATATTATATACATTTTAACGTGATAAAATTGTCAGTAGGAAAACACATCTATTTCTATCACAAATAATAACAGTAATGTTAGGTATTCATACTTCATACAAAAAGTTCACTCAAATGTTAATGTTTATGACGTTTTTGGTGTTATATGTAATGTTGCTACGTTTAGTATTTACCCTATTTTTTTTATAAATATTTAAAGTATTTTGTACAATTTAAAACATAATTATTTTTCTCAAACAATATTGTTTATACACACAACTATGTCATCTGCTGCAGCAATACCGTTGATTAAACAAAGTTTTCATAACTTTAATGAATGTAAAAAGATTTTGTTAAGGATACTTTAGTGTGTGTTTTGACGGATGTGATAAAAAATGTTAGGAATAAATTTTTTAAAAGTATAACAAATAAAAGAAAACTGAATAGGGACTAAAGTACAAAAACAGGTAAAAGAAAAAAAAATAGTAAATCCTATAAATGCAAAGATTATTTTGCTAAGAGACATCGGATGTTTTCTTATAACGTCACAGAAAAACCACTAGAGCTCAGAAACCCACCAAAACCAGAGAGACACGATGAATTGAAGGGCAGTGAGCACATCACCACCCTCACTCTCACTCTCACACTCAACCCCCTTCAACGCCTTCTCTCAAGTCACACAACAAATTACCCTTTTCAGTTTTCTTCTTTCATTCTCTCCCTCTCTGCTAAACACCGTCATGTCTCAGAACAAGAATGTTTCTTTGGAGCGAAGTGCCCCACAACAACCTCGTCCTTCCAATGTATACGTGGGAGTTGGAGGTTCAGACAGCCTCTGCATAAGCCCCAAGCGAGATCACAAGTCTGAAAACTATGAGGACCTTCAATTAGAGTTCAACCCTCTTGTGTTTAGCTCTTTGGAGCAGTATTTGCCTCCCCACATGCTCAACCTCACACGCGAGGTTAAGGTTCAGTACATGAGGAACATTTTGCTTCGATATTTGCCCGAGAGTGAGCGCATTCGGGTGGGTGCCACTACAATTTTGGACTTTTGTGCTTTCAATTTTTTTGTTGACTTCACTGTGTTTGAAAAATGATGGTGGGCTGAAGGGCCCAGATGGGCGTTGGAGTTTGGAAGCGCTGAATTTTTTCGTTTCTTGAATTAAAATTTCATTTCGATGTTGCCCTTGGTCAATAGGGTCTTTTTTGCATTCTCGATTGGTTTGGGAAAATTTTGATGGGAATTGGGAAAAATATATATTTGAATTGTGTTACATATTGTCTTTCCTGATTGGCAGCACACAATTTGGATGATTCTATATTTTGATTGCTCAATGCGGGTGCATGTTGTGAAGATGACGATGTTTGTTTAACAAGTTGGTCTTTCATCAAAGAAGTGGTTCCTAATCATTTATGTTTATAGTCTTGTCTTCTTAGTTCTTAGGAAAAATGCCAATATTTTCTTTCATTGGCATTCTCTTTTGTCCGTCGGAAGTACTTGCCTGTGCCTATTTTGAAAAATGATACATCTGCTGTGTAATTAGCGGGTTTTCTCTGTAAGCTTATCATTCTCAAGTGTAGAATTCTACATGATAGGGATTTCTGTCTGCACTTGTCTTAGAAAATTTATTGACTTACCATTTCTGTTAAAATACTTGTTAACCTAAATAGGTGAGATAAATGAGACCAATTCTTAGTATGATAATGAAGATGTTTTTGTTTTATTTTATTTTTTCCTGGTATATTTTGTTTTTGGCTTGGTTTTGTTGTTCACTCTTGAGTTTTTGAGTTTGGTATTCTTTCTTGGATTGAACAGATTCAAAAGCACAAGGAATACAGGCAAAAGATCATGTTGAACTATCCAGTAAGTTTTCTATTCAATGTCAAAATGGTGGTTTTGTTCGTTTGCGAATTGAAAATTTAGATGGTTTCATTTTATGATTCTCTTGGAAATTGTGGGAGATGCTGTTGATGGGATCATTTTTCTTAGACTTAGGGTGACACTTTAGTTGGTACCTATTATCTGAGAGAATTTGGAATCTGCATGTGTTCTTGCTGTTAACGACATTTGA